AACCAAACAGGAGAAAAATCCAGCCTGGCCTGGTGTGTTAAAACCCTTTCCAGTGGAAAGAAAGAGTTCTTCAAGGAACAAGAAAAAATAAACCTCCGCACTTCCATATTATATCTCTCTTTGGGAATTTTGTATCTATCTGGTCTGTGGCACATCAATCCCTTTCTCAGACAGAGACCTACACAGTTGCTAAATTCACAAGAGGAGGCTTTGCTAGGTATACCACAACCTGCAGACAGTCATCTGGCAACAGCTGGATACAGGCCAGTTCTGCCGTGGCCTCAGTGTCCAGAATGTCCTTCCCCCTGGTTTTCTGAACATGTCCGAGGCACCTGTTAAAAATCATTCTCTCACCCAAATCTTTTTCAGTTATACTGCTGCCCAGGTATTTTGGTTCTTACTGTGTTTTTAGTTTTCATTTAGGTTATTTTAGAAGGTTTAACTGATGAGTTTGCTTTTAATTAGTTTGACATATTTCAGCTTTTTTATTTGTAAGCCACTTATGCAAGTTTGGACAGAAAAAGTCCTGTACCCTTAGATATTAATATTTTTCAATAATAATGAAATTATTATTAATGCAATGTCTGAGCACATTATCTGATAAGCCATTGCTACTGGGAAGTACTAACTTTATTACAGAGTGTATACTTGTTAGGGGACAGATGATCCGAGGAAAATATACTTCTAGTCCCCAAGCCACTATTTGAGGAACAAGAGGATGTCCAAGAATACACAGCCCAAAGGGTTAAATGTTATGTATATTTATGTTATCTCTTTTCTCTTTTTCCCCTTTAGCATTTGTTCTTCTTTTTTTCTAAAAAGATGAACAAATTTGGCAGATCTTCTAGAAGATCAGAAGGTGTTTGGTATTTTTATAACCTGCCCTGAGGCCTGGGAATAGGGAGAGACTTAAGTATAGAGTTGCCATAAAACATGTTTGTAGGGATGCAAAGCATGCATGAAGAACAAAAGTTGTGTCCCATTTCCTCTGCAAATGTCAGTCAATCAATACATTTTTGGAATTGCACAAAGACATGATGAGGGCCAGCCCAATCCTCTTTGGGTGCCTGAAGAAGAAATTCCAAATGACACCCTTCATCCATTAACCAGCACTCCAGTGGGTGGTTTTTCTGTGCAAGCCCTGCTAAGAGGAGCTCTCTCAGTGCATGCTAGCAGCCTTGCCCAGCTCCTGATCCATTGGACAACAGCCCCATCTACTAACTGAGGATGATGGGAATGGTTGTTTAACTTATCTGGAGGGTCTCAGGCTGGGGAAGGCTGCTAGCATGCCAGGCTTGTGGGTCAAATCTGTCTGTTTCCCACTTGCTCAGCCAGAAACGGAATGACTGGAGGTTGAAGTCTTGCTCCAGCTGCGAGGCCCATGAGGGCAGCAGTCTTGCTCAGAGATGTATGGCAGGCCGCATGGCACATGCACCACTATCTCTTCCAAGAGAGCACATGGCTGGGGGGACAGCACTAGGCCCTCAATAACCACCCAACAGGGCCTGCTTTAAATGCCTGGTTGGGGTGGGAGGAGCAATTTAGTGCAGGCAAATCTCAGGAAAAAAAGGCCAACCCACCTCTCCTCTAGCACTATGGCCCTGATACAAATGACCATCCCATGACGGGTTTTTCACTTCTTTTAAAAGCAGGAGTCTTCATCTGTTCATCTTAGCGGAGGCAAGAAACCATCTATGACCATCAAGGCATCATTTTTCTTTCCTCAACAGGAAAGAAGAAAAAAGCTGCACCTGGTGCTGGGAAGGGCCTGCTGCATTAAGTACAAAACTTGAATTCCATCCCTGACGGAGGGTAGTCCACCTGGCCCTCTGACCAGCCTGATTTCGCACTGGCAGGGCATGAAATGTGATAGGCAGACATGCGCTGACTCCTCTGCTCAGGATCCTTCCTATCACCACACCCCACGTGGTATAACAAGAACTAGCAGCACACTCTTAATTAGGAAATGTCTTCTCCTATTACTACCAAACTACCAAATCTTCCTACATGCATTGTACTCAAAGAAGGTGCCCACTCCTTGACTGAGTATAGATGTACTCTGTGGCATGGCTCTCCTTACTAGACTGGGAGTGTCCATGCAGACATATATAACGGTGCACATGTTTGTGAAAGGCAGAGAAATGAGACTGCAGGTGCCTCAAATCTTAGGCCTCGCACAGTCAATGTGCATGGATGACTTCCAGTAGGTATCTGTTGAGCATGCCATGGTATGTGTAAAGACAGCAATATTTATTGCAGGAACCAGCAACCAGAGTCTTCTCAGTCAGCTTTAGTCACTTCAGAAAGGCCTCCTGCCCTCCTGGGTTTCCCACCCAGAGAAGTGGAGAAAAGTGTTAACCGTGTCCCGGGTCCCTGGAAGATGCAGGCCAAGGACCCAGCCTACCAGCCCTTTGCCAGGTGCTCTTGAGCAAAACAAGTTGCAGAGTGATCCAATCATCTAATTGTAAGATCAGCGCATGCTTTCAGCAAGCTGGTGCTGTCTGTCACATCTGTATCTCCATTCAAGTTGCTCAGGGCAGCATAATTGGGAGCTGATCCCAACTTTTTTTGCTTGTGAGAAAATAACTTACCAGAGGCCACCTTTCAAATTCCTGGTAGGTCTTCTTTCCCCTCCAAGTCTGATGCTCTTGTCAAGCCTTAATCAGTCTTAAAATTTTGAGGGAGCAACACCTCCCAGCATTCCTGAACATTGGCCATTCTGGCTGGGGCTCATGGGAAATGACATCCCAAATTCCTGGAGGGGACCATGTTAGGGAAGGCTGCTTTATGCCTTATACTGAATTATGTGAACATTACGGTCATTGTAAACTTTTGCACTCAATTACATGTGGATTACACAGCCATCTGTAACCCAGTGTGATCCCCCCCCCC